ACCCTAGATCACCAGGACGGCCCCATGGCGCTCAGCGACGCTCTGCGGTCTCTCGACCCGGCTGCCTTTGTTCCCGCCGCCAGGCCCCATGGTTGGCGTTCCGCCGCGCGATCGCTTGCTATAATTCTCTCCCTTTTCCGCGCTGCTCCCGCGCGTGGCCCGCGCACCCTATGGCGCGCCTTTTCCGCCGATGCTTGGGTTGAGTCCACTTGGGCGCAATTGCATGGCAATTTCATTATGGATGACCTACTCGCCAGCCTGCGCCGTGCCTGGAAAGTCTAAACTCGCGACCTGGAATGTGCGCTATCTAGGACCTCCCGCGGGAGCGCATGCTTCCTGCGGCAGACCCATTGGTCGGAGCACGAGACTGGCGCATGGGCCAGCATGTTCCAAGTTCGCCCCTCGGCGGCATGCGCCGCCTTTGCTGGCCCTGGAGGGGTCTCGCCCGGAGCGTGGCAAGTATCGTTCCACGCGGCATGGCCCTACGCGACTCTTGTATTCTCATCCCTGGCTGCGCAGTGTATGCCACCGTCGATGTCAGCGGCACAGTAGTCCGCGCGTTCCTGCGGGGGAGGGGCAGGGGCGGCCCTGTCAGTGCGATCCACCTGGCGCGGGCCCCAGAGTCCGAGCAGAGTCAACCTGTGGCTTGCCCTCTACCGGCTATAGAGAAATTCAGCAAGTTGGCGAAGAGTTTTTAAAATTACGCCTGGGCCACGATGCCCGGCGTCGAAGGCGAGACAGATAGGTTTTCGTGGATCCCGACGGTTCGCTCTTTGGTTGGCACGAGTCAGTGCTACCCTGCATTCGGCTTTTTGGATGTCTGAAAGGGCGCAGAATGCCTAACCTGTCGGCGCAGATTGCAATGGGGGGGCTGCCGAGAAGAATGTGGATCTGACTTCTGGCAAGATCCACAAGTTGGCCGATGAAGCGCAGCTGGTCAATCGCCTGTGCCCAGGGCGTCTTCAGAAGGGTAGACAAGTAGCCATCGCCCGTGGCGAAGTGCGTATCAAGGTGAACAACATAGATCATGCAGTGCCCGAAGCTGCGAAGTCAGCCCCCAACCGGGTCGAACTGAAGAGTTCTGCGTGCATCGCGGTCTGCGGGGCCCGTGGCCGATCTGGGACCTTCAGCGTTCTGGGGGGGGGGGAATTCCCCGCGGAAGTGAGCTTCATTGCCGAGGCATTGACAGCGGTAGAAAGCCCCAGTGGGGCCGAACCAAGTGCCAGCCAGTCTTTGGCTTACGCCGCGGCGCGGGGGCTCATGTCTCGAGTGAACGCAGATCCTGGGGCGATCGCACATATTGTAAGAGAGGAGTAAGATCGCGCCCGGGCAGAGCGGACGAATAGCAGACAAAGGTTGTCTTGCGCGGCGGATTGTCAGCGTGATCGTGGGCATCTCGAGTGCGCGTGCGCTTGTGTGGTGATCCTGCCGCAATGTAGAATGATTGGCAGATCGACCCAGTGTTCCGCGGCTATGTCGATGCTGCAGCGCGGGAACTGCATGGCGAAAGGCGGACCGGCGAATGCGCTTTTCAAAAGGCCAGGCCAATGGACCCTTGGCCCTCGCCCTTGCTGCAGGGGCTCGCGGGGCCATCGGCGCATCTCGCCGCGACTGACATATGGCGACTCATTGGCTTCCCCAGCAGAGACTGGTTCCTTGGCGAGGCTGGTTCGGCGGAAAACGATCGCGACAAAATGTGCCAGGTCATGCGCGAGCGCGGCGCGCGGCCCGTCGCGATGGCCATGCTCGCGGCGGGGGCTGCCCTGAAACTGAGCTTCAGTCCTTTGCCGAACACGCTGCCCCCGCGCCCGCGGCCGGCGGGCCCAGTCTGCCCCCCCCCCCTCCGCGGAGACGGGCGCCAATAGAGCTCGCCAGCGCGGCGGTGCAGGCGGCGCCCCTGCTGGCGCTCAAGCGACCGAGACCAGAAACAGAAGCGCAATAAAGGCAATGATGGGGGCGAATGGGGGCGGGGCCCCCGCGGGCCCTGCAGTCGCTGGGGGGGCGACGAAAGGAAGACGGATGAAGGGCAAATGAGCAGCGGGGGCATCGATGCCAGCTGTGCCGGCGATGACGACTTGATTTCGAGTGGAAATCGCAGTTGGCCGCGATAACGACAATGCCGGCGCCAGCGGTGGCCGCTGGAGCTCTGGGGGCAGATGGCGCGAAGATGCGTGGGGCGGCGAGTCTGGAAAGTGGAAGGGCGAGTGCGTTAAGTCTTCGCGGCGCTACGACTCCGAGGCGATGGGGCATGGGGGACGAGTTCGGCGGCGTCTGGAATGAGAAGCGATCGAGGTCGTCGCGAGCCGCGATGGCACCTGCGCGGCCGTGCGATCGGCGACGGGGCGCCCCGCGGGCCTGTCGAATCAACCGGGGGCCCGTCGAGCACCCGGGCTCTGGCCTCTGCGGCTGGGGTCGCGGATTGCGAGCTCTGCGAAGCAGTTTCTGGGGCAGGCGCTCGAGGGCGAGGCGCGACAAGGGCCGGCGCGCGAGGGCTCTGCTGCCCCAGTGCCGCGGTGCCCGATGTTGGGGGTCGATGACGTCAGCTCCTGCCCGCGTCGCGCGATCGCACTTCCGCCCGCCGCCGCGGGCGTTGCGCTCGAGCAACCACTTGCGCATTGCAAGTGTTGGGCGGCCTGACTGCAGGGCGCTTGCCGCGCGTCGCAGGCGGCGAGAAGGATCGCCGCCGCGCCGTCGATCAGAATGGGGGGGGCGCATCATGGGCAAGGCCCTCTCGAAAAGATCCGCTGAGTTTGGGGGGGAGATGGCGCGTCGCCCTGGCTGGGCTGTCGCGCAGACGACGTAGAACATCTGACCAAAGACGTAGCGCGATGTCCGTCGCAATGGATGATTGTGGTTTGGGGGCGCAAGTGCTCTGTGTTTCGTTATGATCGTGGCCTCAGGAGCGCTGGCGCGTCGCGCTCCGGAAGGGTTTATGGTCTCTGGGGCGCGAGTGCGCCGTAGTTTACATGGTGTCGGGGCCCCGCGAGCGCGATTGTGTTGCAATGTACTTGGGATCTTGGCCTCGGCGGCCCGATCGCGCCGCAATTTGCAATCATTCGTGGCATCGGGGGCGCGAGATTTGCAACTTGCCAAGGATAGTCGGCGCGGGAACGCGAGCGTGCCGCAAGTTTCCAATGACTGTGTTTTTTGGGGCGCGAGCGGGGTGTGATTTGCCGGGGATGTGGCCTCGGGAACACGATTGCGGTGTAATTTACAAGGGGGTGCCCCCCCACCCCCGTCCATCATGAAAAGGGGGGGGTCACTACCGTTTCGAAGCGCCCCCCCTTTCGAGGGGGGGTCAGTCCCGTTTCGAACCCTCCCTTCCCCCCTTTCGCCGCCGGCAAACGATTCCCGTTCCTCGGGACAGTTGGACAATGGTGGGGATACTGGGACAGTGGTGGGAATTGGTGGTGGGGACAGTGGTGCGGGGGCAGTGGGAAAGTGGTGCGGACAGTGGTGGGGACGGTGGTGGTGGGGACAGTGGTGAGGCGACAGCGGGACAGTGGTGGGGACAGTGGGACAATGGTGGGGACGGTAGTGGTGGGGACAGTGGTGAAAGTGGTGGTGAGGACTGGTGGGACAGTAGTACAGTGGGGAGAGTGGTGGAGACAGTGGGGACAGTGGGAAGTGGTGTGGACAGTGGAGACGGTGGGACAGCACAGTGGGACAGCGGCGGGGACACTGGGACAGTGGTGGGGACCGTGAGCAAAATGGGGAGAGTGGGACCGTGGTGGGACAATGGCGGGGAGAGAGGGGACAGTGAGACACTGGTGGGGGCACTAGTGGGGACAGCGAGGACAATGGTGGGAACAGTGGGGACAGTGGGACAGCGGTGGGGACTGGGATAGTGGTGGGGACGGTTGTGGTGGGGACAGTGGTGTGGGGACAGTGGGAATGTGGTGGGGACAGTGGGACATTGGTGGGGACAGTGGTGGTGGGGACAGTGGTGAGGGCGGTGGCGAGGACGGCGGTGGGACAATGGGACAGAGGTACAGTGGGGACAGTGGTGGGAACAGTGGGACAGCTCAGTGGGACAGCGGCGGGGACAGTGCCCCCCCCCCTCGCCACCGGCAAACGATTCCCGCTCCTCTGGATAGTTTGGACAATGGTGGGGATATTGGGATAGTGGTGGGAACGGTGGTGGTGGGGACAGTGGTGCAGGGACAGTGGGACAGTGGTTCGGACAGTGGTGGCGACGGTGGTGGTGGGGACAGCGGTGAGGGGACAGCGAGACAGTGGTGGGGACAGTGGGAAGTGGTGGAGACAGTGGTGAAGGCGGTGGTGAGGACAGGGGTGGGACAGTAGTACAGTGGGGAGAGTGGTGGGGACAGTGAAGCGGTAGTGACCCCCTCCGTTTTCCCGAGGAGGAGGCGGGGTGGGTTCGAACGGGTAGTGACCCTCCCCCCCTCGGTTTTCCGGAGGAGGGGGAGGGGGGGTTCGAACCGGTAGTGACCCCCCCCCCCGGTTTTCCAGAGGGGGGGAGGGGGGGGTTCGAACCGGTAGTGACCCCCTCGATTTTCCGTCTGGAGGGGGGATGGGTGTAGGGGAGGGAGGTTTTGCCGGGAGGAAAGGGGGGGGGTCCAGCAGGGGGGGGGGGGATTTTCGGAGGGGGGGGGAACGGAGAAACAGGGGGGGAATTTTCCACAGTAAAGCGGCGTGAATCACGCTTTCTCCGATGATTGCAACCGTGGAAATTCGATCAAGGCCACCTATAGCCATAACGTTGGGTTTTGAAGCCGTTGCGGGGGACATGAACAATTACGCCTTGAAGCTTGCTGGCCCCGGCGTGAATTGCGGATATGCTCACACACGCGCATTGAACACAGGATGTGGGTTTCATTTTGGGTGTTCGCATAGCTGCATCACCCCGTTGCTAATGTGTTACTGCCGTTCGAAGTCGTATCCCCGATCCAATGTTTCTAAGTTGTCCCTTTGCCCTTTCGTTCAGCCCTGCTATCATATTCCCTCATGGTTTCTTTCCTTCCGATCGCTTGGCGAAGGATGGTGCGAAGCACGCTGCTGATGAGGCGGCGCTGCGCTTGGCCGAGGACGCGGCGCGGCTTGCGGCCGAGGAGACGGCACGGCGCACAGCGGAGGAGACGGCGCGGCGTTTGGCCGAGGACGCGGCGCGGCTTGCTGCCGAGGAGGCGACGCGGCGCACAACGGCGGAAAAGGAGGAAGAGGTGCGGCGCTTGGCCGAGGAGGCGGCGCGGCGCACACTGGAAGAGCAGGAGGATGCTCGGCAGGCGGCCGAGGACGAGGCGCGTCTTGCGGCCGAGGCCGCGGCGCGGCTTGCGGCCGAGGAGAGAGCGCGGCTTGAGGCCGAGGAGTCGGCGCGGCTTGCGGCCGAGGAGTCGGCGCGGCTTGCCTCGGCGGAGGAGGCCGCGCGTCTTGCGGCCGAGGCCGCGGCGCGGCTTGCGGCCGAGGAGGCGGCGCGGCTTGCGGCCGAGGAGAGAGCGCGGCTTGCGGCCGAGGAGGCGGCGCGGCTTGCCTCGGCGGAGGAGGCCGCGCGTCTTGCGGCCGAGGCCGCGGCGCGGCTTGCGGCCGAGGAGAGAGCACGGCACGCGGCCGAGGAGGCGGCGCAGCGGCGTGCGGCGGAGGACGTGGCCCGCCGCCTCCTGGAGGGCATCGCCCGCCGCGTGGCGGAGGAGGTTGCCGCGGCCCAGCTCGCCGCCGTGGCCGCGGAGGGCGAGGCGGCCGTTCTGGAGAGGGCCGCCCGCGCCACGGAGGACGCGGCGGGGGTGTGCATTGACGTTTTCGCGTCGTGGCGAAACTCACGACCAAGGTTTTTTGTCATTTTCGGCCGGTGGGGGCCCTCGGAAATCAGCAAACGACTCGGGATGGAGCGCCGGTTCAGAGGAAGAGGTTCAGATCTCGGGGCAGCCACGTTGCGAACGTATGTTTGTGTCGGGCGAGGGGGGCGGCATTCCAAGAGATAGTTTTTTTTCACAAGGGTCTGCGAAGGGCGTGTGGGGACCCCCCCGCCTCAGAAGGCCATTTCCTTCGCGCCACCACCTGAGCGCCGCTCACCCTTTGACAAGAACGCCTCCGAGTTGTTTCGTTTGTCCAGGTTGGAAAGTGTCTCTGGGTTTGGCAAGGCCAGTGGGTCCGGCCCCTGCAAGCTTCCTTGACAAGTTTCCTTCTACTTATTTGGGGCCTGGCCAGCTTGTTTGACTGCTGTTCGAGCGTGCGTGCGGTTTTCGCATCTCCTAGGCGGGATTGTTAATTTCTCTGGCCGTCCCGCTCCAGAGAACATCCCGTCGCCATCTTCACCCTCTCTCAGAGGGTGCAGGGGTGAGCGTTTGAAGTCGGGCGGTGCTTTTACGTTGTCGTTGCTTCGAACCTCCAAATGTCGTCAATGTTTTCAGTGTTTGTTGCGCACTGCCGTCACTAGCGACTCTAAAACAAATTATCCCAGAGCGACCCTACCTAGGAGTTGGAGCCCCGAGGAGAGCAATATTAGTAGTAACGGTAAACGCCGTCCTCCTCCTTCTCCTCATCGTCGCAGTTGTAGCAGTAGCGGTAGTAGTGGTAGTAGTAGTGGTAGTAGTAGTAGTAGTAGTAGTAGTAGTAGTAGTAGTAGTAGTAGTAGTAGTAGTAGTAGTAGTAGTAGTAGTAGTAGTGATAGTACCACTTAATACCTACATCAGCTTCTAGACCCACATCCACATCTACACCTACAGCTACAACTACATGTACACATGCATCTACATCTACATCTACAGCTACACTCACATCTACATCTACATCTGCACCTACATCTACACCTACATGTGCATCTAGATCTACATCTACACCTACATCCACATCTACACCTACACCTACATCTAAATCCTCATCTACACTTTCGCATTGGTTTTGCTTTTGCTGTGCATTGCCTTTGCGTTGCTTTTGCTGTTGCGTTGCTTTGCTTTGCGATGTGTGTGCTTTGCTTTGCTGGTGCTGCTGTTGCTTTGCCTGTGCTTTGATGCTATGCTATGCTATGCTATGCTATGCTATGCTGCGCTATGCTATGCTATGCTATGCTGCGCTATGCTATGCTATGCTATGCTAGGGTATGATGGGCTGCGCTATGTTATGCTAGGCTGTGCTATGCTATGCTATGCTGCGCTATGCTATGATATGCTATGCTATGCTGCGCTATGATATGCTATGATATGTTATGTTGCGCTATGCTATGCTGCGCTATGCTATGATATGCTATGCTGCGCTGTGCTATGCCATGCTATGCTATGCTGCGCTATGCTATGCTATGACATGCTATGCTGCGCCATGCTATGCTATGCTATACTGCGCTATGATAGGCTATGCTATGCTGCGCTGTGCTATGATATGCTAAGCTATGGTATGCTGCGCTATGCTATGCTGGGTTGTGCTGTGCTGTGCTATGATATGCTGCGCTATGCTATGCTGCGCTATGCTATGCTATGCTATGCTAATGCTGCGCTAAGCTGAGCTAAGCTGAGCTGAGCTAAGCTGAGCTGAGCTAAGCTAAGCTAAGCTAGGCTAAGCTAAGCTAAGTTAAGCTAGGCTAAGCTAAGATGAGATAAGCAAAGCTAAGCTAAGGGGGCGCAACTGGGGGAACCGCGGGGCGGATACTGGGGGAACCGCCCGGGGCGAGGAACACTGCCCGGCCCCTTTAAGCCCAGCGAGTAAGAACCTTCTAGGCAGAGCCTAGGTAGGGAACACATGTTATCGTGTTGTTTCTTTGTGTCCCGCCGCAATCGCATAATGTTCGTGGCAGGTCGGGTCGGCCTTCTCTAGTTTTTCAAGTGCTACAATTGTTGGCGACTGAATCCGGGTGGTCACCTGAAAGGTGTCTTTTTGACGTTCTGCGTGTTTCCAAAATCCATCTCAGCGATACCGTCACTTGAACACTTCAAGTTATCGTCGTTCAATTCGTTGGCGTTCCCAATCGTAGAAACTGCCGCTTTTACGCATTTGCTGCTCCAGCTGGGGTAAATTTGCCGTCTCTCAGACAGTATTGGTTCACCCAGCGCAGACTTGTTGTCGCGATTTAGTTTTCTTCTTTCGTCGGAATCATTGAGGATGTAGTTTTCACATGCTCACCCCCTTCATGCTCCCAAACCTACACGCGCCGTAACTTTGAACCGCCTCGTTCACCAACACGTAACATAGTCTGTGCCAATATCGGTCCAGCGTCGACTACCTCAGTCCAGCTCCGCCTGAGTCAGTCCCATTGTACCCAGTTCAGCCCAGTTCCCTTCTTTTTTGTTGTACTCGCTTCAATGAAACCTGGGTCTGAGCCCAGCTCAGTCGACCCAGCCACCCAGTCCGGTCCACGACAAGCCAGCTCAGCCCACTCGTCTCATCTCAGTCAAGCTCCGCCTAGTCCCGCCCAGCTCGGTCCAGGTCAGCCCATTCCAGTCCAGATCGGTCATCCCATCTCAGTCCAGCTCAGCCTAGTCTCACTCACCTCAGTTCGGCCTGCTTATACCATGCTAGTCCATTCCAGTCCAGCTCAGCCTATTTCAGGCCAGACCAGGCCAGTCCGTTTCAGTCCAGCTCAGCCGTTGTGCAGCTTTGTGTGTTCGTGCTCCCAGCTCAGCCCAGTAAGCTCATGCCAGGCCGGTATACTCATGCCAGCCAGCCAGCCAAGTCATGCCAGGCCAGTCCAATTCATCCCAGGCCATGCCAGCTTTCTCCAGCTCGGCCCTGACCACTCTCGCCCAGTTGAGTTCGGCACATGTCCGTCTTGCTCTGCCCAGGTGGCCCAGGCCAGCTCATTCCGGCCCAGCGGAGCGTTGGCCAGATGCGTGGCATCGCTCAGACGTGTGCGTTTTCCTTGACGAGGACATCGGGGACCATCCTGGATCATCTGTCAAACAATGCGCACGAAACCGAACCATGTGCGGGGAATGGGCGCCCGAGCGGTGGCAGGGTTGGGCTAGCCTCGCCCAGCTCGATCCGATCTTCCACTCACTGTAGTCGAGCGAAATGCACATCGGGCAAATCTAGCCAAGTCCAGCTGAGGTTTGCTCAGTCTGGCTCAGCCATTTTGGCCCAGTCCTGCCCAGTCTGGTCCCGCTTGGTCCAGTTCAGCCCGCTCGACCCAGCTTGGATGAGTTCAGTGCTTCTCAGCCTACCGCATTCCCTTCCACCAACCCACCCTAGCACAGTTTTCCCTAGTGCCGAATACAGCCCAGATGTGTCAAGTTCGGTCTGGCCCAGTCCAACCCAGTGTCGCCAGCTCAACCCAGTTCAATCCTCCTCAGCCCAGACTTGTGCAGCTCTGCGCAGTTCAGCCCAGATCAGCACATGTCGGTCCCGCTTAGTGCACGTCGGTCCAGCTAAGCCCACCTCATCCTAGGGCAGCTCTGCTCAGTCCAACACGGCCCTGCTCAGCCCAGCCCAGCCCAGCCCACCCCTGATCGACCCATCGCAGCCACTGCGAGTTGATCTTGGTTCACGCCATCCTTGCACAGTCCAGCACAATACAGTCCAGTCCAGCCGACTTCGTATGGGTTATGAGTCCAGCTCAGCCCAGTCATCAAAGCCCATTTCAGTCCAGGTCAGCCCATCGCATCCCAGCTTAGCCCAGCTCACTCCTGGGCATCCCACTTCAGTCAGGTCAGCCCAGCGCGGTCCAGTTCCGTCCAGGTCGGTCATTGTCTCTCCATTCAGTGCATCCCAGTTCAATGCAGCCCAGCTCGTCTCAACCAACCCCAATCCAGTACAGCTCATCTCCGTTCGGGCCCATCTACAACACATCCAGCTCAGAGCCTCGCGAGACTTCAAACGTCGGTATTCATCGGCACTGGCGTCGTGTCACAAGCGTAAGTGTGTGTGTGTGTGTGTGTGTGTGTGTGTGTGTGTGTTTGAGCCGCCCCGTGCACCACTATGTAATCCAGTCTGCGCCAATATTCGTCCATCGTCGACTACCTCAGTCCAGCTCTGCCTGAGTCGGTCACACTGTACCCAGTTCAGCCCAGTTCCACTATCTTTGCTGTGCTCGCTTCAATGAAACCTGGGTCAGTCCAGCCTTGCCCAATTCAGTTCCGTTCAGTCTGTCTGACGCAGTCTGCTCCAGTCGAGCTTCAGTCCAGCTTAGCCCATTTCAGCCCAGGTCTGACAAGGCCAGTCACACTCGAGCCTTAAGCTCCAGCCCATGCCAGGCCAGCTGAATCCAGCTGAGCCCAGCTCAGTCGACCCAGTCATCCATTACAGTCCACGACAGGCCAGCTCGGTCCAGCCAGATTTGCCCAGGTCAGCCCATTCCAGTCCAGCTCAGTCCAGCTCATCTCATTTCAGTCCAGCTCCGCCTAGTCTCGGCCAGCTCACTACAGCATGCGTTGGCAATGTTGGTCCAGTCCAGTCCAGCTCGGTCCAGCCGAGGCCATCCTAGCCCAGGTCAGGCCAGGCCAGGTCAGAAGTCCGTATCAGTCCGACTCAGCCGTTGTGCAGTTATGTGTGTTTTGGTTCCCAGCTCGGCCCAGCCAAGTCATGCCAGGCCAGTCCAATTCATTCCAGGCCATGTCAGCTTTCTCCAGCTCGGCCCTGATCACTCTCGCCCAGTTGAGTTCGGCACATGTCCGTCTTGCTCTGCCCAGGTGGCCCAGGCCAGCTCATTTCAGCCCAGCGGAGCGTTGGCCAGTTGCGTGCATCGCTCAGACGTGAGGACCATCGGGGACCATCCTGGATCATCTGTCAAACAATGCGCACGAAACCGAACCATGTGCGGGGAACGGGCGCCCGAGCGGTGGCAGGATTGGGTTAGTTGACGTCAGGGAACCTCAGCCCAGCTCGATCCAGCAATCGCCAAGCCAATCTAGCAGATCACATCCCAAACCATTGTAGTCGAGCGAAACGCAAATCGGGCAAATCTAGCCAAGTCCTGCGCAGTCTGGCTCAACCAGTTGGGCCCTGGCCTGCCCAGTCTGGTCCTGCTCGGTCCAGTTTAGCCCGCTCGGCCCAGCCTGGATCAGTTCAGTCCCTCTCAGCCTACCGCATTCCCTTCCATCAATCCACCCTAGCACAGTTTTGCCTAGTGCCGAATCCCGCCCAGATGTGTCACGTTCGGTCTGGCCCAGTCCAACCCAGTGCCGTCAGCTTAACCCAGTTAAATCCTCCTCAGCCCAGACTGGTGCAGCTCTGCGCAGTTCAGCCCAGGTCAGAACATGTCGGTCCCGCTTAGTGCACGTCAGTCCAGCTAAGCCCACCTCATCCTAGGACAGCTCTGCTCAGTCCAGCACGGCCCTGTTCACCCCAACCCAGCCCACCCCTGATCGACCCATCGCAGCCACTGCGAGTTGATCTTGGTTCACGTCATCCTGGCACAGTCCAGCACAGTCCAGTCCAGTCCAGCCGCATTCGTATGGGTTATGAGTCCAGCTCAGTCCAGTTCAATCCATCAAAGCCCATTTCAGTCCAGGTCAGCCCATCGCATCCCAGCTTAGCCCAGCTCACTCCTGGGCATCCGAGTTCAGTCAGGTCAGCCCAGCGCGGTCCAGTTCAGTCCTGGTCGGTCATTGTCTCTCCGTTCAGCGCATCCCAATTCAATGCAGCCCAGCTCGTCTCAACCCACCCCAATCCAGCACAGCCCATCTCCGTTCAGGCCGAAGAGTCAGTCGTGGTCATTGCATCCAGCAATCCACTCGCCCCTTAGGATATGGTGCGGGATCCTACGGCCGAGGTGGCACAGATTTGATGTAGATTTTATCGAGATCGTTGCATGCATGCTTCCTCGAGGGCGATCTTGCCGAGCCGATCGGGCCAGCACTGGTGCGGGTCAAGACAAGTCCGTTTAGAGGAGGTCTCTCGGAGAGCCCAACTCAACGCTTCGGAGAATGCCGCGCGCCCAGAGGAGGGCGAGAGCTGGTCACTGGAGGACTCGGTGCGCCACTTGCGGATAGGCAGCGGCGACTCCTTGCATGTGAACGCGGAGGCTGTCCGCCGACATCGGAGATCCCTCTGCTGTGTGTACGTATGGACTCGTCAGCAGTTGCCCCCGCACCTGACTTTTTCGCTTTGGCCTGCCACAGCGGCCAGACAGACGCGATGTCGATTCGAAAAGCTCGCCAGAATGGTACCCAGGACTGATTCCATGGGTCGATTCTGGGCGGATTGGCAGGAAGGGGGCCAAGATGTGAGGCGCGCCTGGAGGGGAATCCTGCCTGCTCAGTGGAGGATGCTTCCGGCCTGTCCACGGATATGGGGGCTAGTTTTCCAAGGTACAAGAAGTCATGATTATGATGCGCTCCAAGATCCCCAAGATTTTCCCAAACATGTTATTGCATTTAGGGGTTCTCACTTCAATTCTAATGGGCTGGGCCGTGTCTTCGGTCTGGCGGCTATGTCATCGCCGTCGCCGCCCAGCCGTCGTCGTCGGAGTAGGAGGAGGAAGAGGAGGAGCAGGAGGAGGAGCAGGAGGAGGAGCAGGAGCAGGGGGAGGAGGAGGAGGAGGAGGAGGAGGAGGAGGAGGAGATGAGGAGGATGAGATGGAGGACTGCGAGGGCGAGAAGGACGAGACGGAGGAAAAGGAGAAGGAGGAGGAGGAGGAGGAGGAGGAGGAGGAGGAGGAGGAGGGGGAGGGGGAGGAGGGAGGAGGAAGGAGGAGGAGGAGGAGGAGGACAATGGCGAGCTTGGGGGCCTCTTGGGCCGTCTTTGGGGCCTCTTGGCGGTCCCCGGGGCCTCTTGCGTATGTCGGGGAGCCTCTTGTGGCCTCTTGGGGGTCTCTTGGGGGCCTCTTGAAGGCCTCTTGGGGGCCTCTTTGGGCCTCTTGGGGCCCTCTTGGGGCGCTCTTGGGGCGCTCTTGGGAGCCTTTGGGGCGCTCTTGGGGCCATCTTGGAGGAGATCCATCAAAGAAGGGGGGGCGTATATGAGCGCTGCCCCTCTAGAGTGCCTCGAATCGCCTCTGAGGCCCTTCTTGAGGCCAACATCTTTACAACACCTACGGAAAGTCAAGGTTTTGTGTTTTTTCGCTCTTGGAGCCGTCTTGGGCCATCTTGGGAGCCTCTTGGAGCCTCTTGGGGGTCTCTTGGGAGCCTCTTGGAGGCCTCTTGGGGGCCTCTTGGGGCCTCTTGGGGCCCTCTTGGGGCGCTCTTGGGGCGCTCTTGGGAGCCTTCGGGGCGCTCTTGGGGCCATCTTGGAGGAGATCTATCAAAGAAGGGGGGGTCGTATATTAGCGCTGCCCCTCTAGAGTGCCTCGAATCGCCTCTTGGGGCCTTCTTGAAGCCAACATCCTTCCACAACCAAAGGAAAGTCAATGTTTTGTGCTTTTTCGCTTTTTCGCTCTTGGAGCCGTCTTGGGCCATCTTGGGAGCCTCTTGGAGCCTCTTGGGGGTCTCTTGGGAGCTTCTTGAAGGCCTCTTGGGGGCCTCTTTGGGCCTCTTGGGGCCCTCTTGGGGCGCTCTTGGGGCGCTCTTGGGAGCCTTCGGGGCGCTCTTTGGGCCATGTTGGAGGAGATCTATCTAAGAAGGGGGGGTCGTAGATTAGCCTTGCCCCTCTAGATTGCCTCGAATCGCCTCTTGGGCCCTTCTTGAAGACAACATCCTTCCAGCACCTAAGGAACACCACTGTTTTGTGTTTTTTCGCTTTTTCGCTCTTGGAGCAGTCTTCGGCCATCTTGGACGTCCCCCCTCGTCCAGGTCGGTGGGGAGGGGTAGGGGGAGGGGTACACCCCTCCCCGAAGAGAAAGAAGGGGGTTGGCAGAGGAAACGCTCTAGACCACCTACGCCCTAAAGGGCTGGTGGGATTCGTACCATCCCAGCCCAGCCCCCCCCCGTCATCCTCTGCAACAAATACTATGCGCGCGCACTCGTTTATCACAACTTGACAGTTTTCAAGAATCCCTTTGCAAAACATGGGGCGAAGTGCGCATGCGCGCGTTGTCGCGCGTGCATGCCGAAATCCTTCACAAACCTTCGATTTCGTAAGGATCTCAATATCGATTGTCGTCGATTGTCGCAAATACATATAAACACGAAAGGATTTCGCACCACTGATTTTCAAAACCAAAAAAAGCCAGACGAAGGACCCAACCATAAGCAATTGTGGATACCGCATTCTGGGTCCATCCTTCTATGAGGCCCTCGGTGGAGCTCCCTATGAGGCCACGACCCGTGTAAGGGGTGTGCCGAAATGGGAATGGGGCGGGATCGCCATGCGACCCTTGCCACTGGCGCCTTCGGTGGATCTCCCTATGGGGCCACGATCCTCGTGAGGGGTGTGCCGAAGTGGCCCGGGGCCGCCATGCGAACCCTGCCACTGGTGCCTTCGGTGGAGCTCATATGGGGTCTCGATCTTCGTGAGGGGTGCGCCGAAATGGCCCGAGGCCGCCATGCGAACCCTGCCACTGGGTCATTCGGTGGAGCTCTCTATGGGGCCACGATCCTCGTGATGGGTGTGCCGAAATGGCCCGAGGCCGCCATACGAAGCCTGCCATTGGCGCCTTCGGTGGAGCTCCTATGGGGCCACGATCCTTGTGAGGGGTGTGCCGAAGTGGCCCAAGGCCCCCATGCGAACCTTGCTACTGGAGCCTTCGGTTGAGCTCCTATGGGGCCACGATCCTCATGAGGGGTGTGCCGAAATGGCCCGAGGCCGCCATGCGAAGCCTGCCTCTGGCGCCTTCGGTGGAGCTCCTATGAGGCCACCACGGTCCTCGTGAGGGGTGTGCAGAAATGGCCCGAGGCCGCCATGCGAATCTTGCTACTGGCGCCTTCGGTGGAGCTCCTGTGGGGCCACGATCCTCGTGAGGTGGTGTGCCGAAATGGCCCGGGGCCGCCATGCGAAGCCTGCCACTGGCGCCTTCGGTGGAGCTCCTATGGGGCCACGGTCCTTGTGAGGGGTGTGCCGAAATGTCCCGAGGCCGCCATGCGAAGCTTGCCACTGGGGCATTTGGTGGAGCTCCCTATGGGGCCACGGCTCTCGTGAAAGGTGTGCCGAAGTGGCCAGGCCACCATGCGAAGCCTGCCACTGGCGCCTTCGGTGGAGCTCCTATGGGGCACCGATCCTCGTGAGGGGTGTGCCGAAATGGCCCGAGGCCGCCATGCGAACCTTGCTACTGGCGCCTTCGGTGGAGCTCCTATGGGGCCACGATCCTCATGAGGGGTGTGCCGAAATGGCCCGGGGCCGCCATGCGAACCCTGCCACTGGCGCCTTCGGTGGAGCTCCCTATGGGGCCACGAAGCGCTTGACTGGGCGGGCGAAACGCAAGGAGGCAGGAGGAGGGGGAGGAGGGAGGAGGAGGGAGGAGGGAGGAACGCGGGGACCGTCTCTTCAAAACGAGAACCCAACACTACAGAATGGTTGGGGAAAACCTTGCGCGCGCGTTCTTGCACATTGTCCAGAAAACCTTAGGTTTTTCCAGCATGAACATAACATGCTACCATAAAAAGGCTCCGCGTGCGCATGTTGAAATTTCGAACGCCCTTGCGCGCGTGGTGTCGCGAGAATCCTTTGCAGAAAATGAGACGAAGTGCGCGTGCGCGTCGTCGCGCGCGCATGCCGAAATTCGTCAAACACCTGCGGCTTCGTGGCGATTTCAACAAACGAGTGTCCAACACATATACAAGCACATGGCTTCGCAACATCAGGTTTCACAAAGCTTGCGTTCGCGTTCTTGCGAATTCTGAAGACAACTGCAGGTTGAACAACATTTGCATGGAATTCTGCCAAGCGGGCCTCTCGCGCCGCATGCCGAAATCATTCGCACGCCCTTGCGCGCGTGCTGGGAGGCACGATCCGTATCACATAACACCATGCGGGCCGCCCTCGAGCGCATGCCGAACTCTGCCCGAAACCTTCATTACCGACGCGAGGACGCCGTCATCGTCGTCGGCACGACAGCACCTGCGCCGTCACTGGCCGCGCCGTCGTCGTTGTCAACATCGTCACCAGCATCGCTGGTATCATCATCGCGTCTACCGTTGTCGACGTTGCCATGATACCGCCCCCGTCCAAGTCGCCGAGTCGCACTGAAGTGCCCGCTGGGATGTGCCCGGCTGTCAGCGCCACCGCGGCCGCGTCGGTCGCGCCAAATTAGCTGGCCGCTGCGCGTGCGTGCTTGGGTTGGCGCGGCCGCAGACACGCACCAGCCAAAGCCAAGCACTCATCGCAATTGCCGCCGCAGTGCTTTTGCAAACCAACTTGCGGCTGCGTGGGTGGGATGTTTGCAAGATCGTGGAATGTATGCAATTCGCTTGTAAAACTCAGCAATTGCACCACATAGTTCGCTCCTCAGTGATTGCGCCTCGTAGATTTTACACAGACAGCACCTCGTATATAGCATTCCACGGATGGCACCACATAGGTCGCGCAACGTAGATCGCACAACATGGGTCGCACCACGTAAATTGCGTTACATCGGTTGCACCACATAAATAGTACAACATAGATTCCACCACATACATAAAAACACCACGTATACTTTCCTTTCAAAAAGCACAGGTTGATCTACTTCCCTCACCCCCTGGACTTCTCGCCCCCTCCCTCTGGGGATGTGCAATTTAAATGCGATGCTGCCCCATCGTCCATCCCAAACATGAATTTCTATGACCCCAAGTAAACTGGCATCCCCCTTTCCATCCCCTGCAACAAAAACTATGCGCGCGCCTTTGTGTACAAACGTTCATTTGTTTTCAAGAACTTCATGTGACCAATGGGACGAAGTGTACGCGCGCGCGTCGTCGCGCGCGCATGCCGGATTCCGTTCAAAAACCGTTCGTTTCGTGCGATTTCCAAAATCGAGCGTCACGGGAACATATAATACATGGTAAGCTACCGGGTTTTCCCAAACAAATGCGCTCGCGCTCATGCATATCTTTAAACAAACCACCGTTGTTCAGCATTCTCATACAATGCGACCAGACGGGCTTTTCGCGCGTGCGTGCCCACATCGTTCGAACGCCCTTGCGCGCGTGCTGTCGCAAGAGTTTTTTCTGCGAA